ATATATATATACATATATATATGTGTGTGTGTGTATGTGAGCGCGCGCGCGCGCGCCACCTTACCTATTAAAACAGTGGTTTTTTATGTGATGTGAAAGATTTGGGTGTTATAAATATAAAAAGCAAAAGTTAGGTGTTAGATATGAAAATAGATAGGTATTAGGTGTTATGTATGTAAAAGGACCTTTATATTTTTCAGGTGAAGTGCTACATGCAGCAGCTATTGTCTGGCCTTGAACATTGCCACTCGCGTAGCATTATTCATAGGGATATCAAGTGTGCAAATCTTCTTGTCAACAACGAGGGAATTCTAAAAATTGCTGATTTTGGCTTATCAAACTTCTTTAATCCTTCTAGTAGACAACAACTTACTAGCCGTGTTGTAACTCTTTGGTATCGTCCTCCTGAACTCCTATTGGGTGCAACGGAATATGAACCAACAGTTGATTTGTGGAGTGTAGGTTGTGTATTTGCGGAGCTCTTTCTCAAAAAACCTGTCTTGCAAGGAATGACTGAGGTATCAATCTTAGTGGTCTACTTTTGGTTCAAGTATTTATAGTAGAAATGATTTTTTTTAATCAATATAAAATAATGAGATTGAATATATATACATGAATAGATTAGTTTCCTTCTATATGGACAAGTTTTATCCTTCACACAACCACATTTTGATTTTAGTGTTTTTAAATTTAAGATAATGATCATTAATGTAATCTGTACTTAGAAGAACAATTTGATTTCTTCTTTTGTTGGGTTTTATAAAATTTTGACTGGTCAAACTTGATATAAAAATGGACGGCTTAAATTCCTCTCACTTAAAGTACTACAAGTCTATTTTTTAAAAAGGAAATTTACATTAATACTACATAATTCTTATTTATTTGCATATCTAACACCCAAATTTTTTATATTTACATTTATCACACCTCGGTATCATAAACATATGCATGAAAAGGTGTGTTTCACTTTTAAAGAGGTGATGGTAGTGGTATTTTGATGTGATATTAAGATTTGAGTGGTATGCATGTAAATATGAATGTTTAGGTGTTAGATGCGTAAATACATAAGAATTGTGTGGTATGTATGTTAAAGCCCCTGTTTAAAAACAAAAGCAATTGAAATTATTTAAAATATTGTATCATAGATGCTAAAATAATTCGTTTAATTTCAGCAATCCTGGAACATAATATTAATGAACTATTCATTTCACTAAGGCTTCTATTAGGATGTTATGCTTGTCTGCTTATGCAGAACATTCTAGTACTTTTCAACTTAGGGACTATGATGAACAATCTTAATGTTGTTAATTGGGCATTTCATATCCAAGAGAAAGTCAAATTAAATTGAATGAAAAAGTTTCTCAATTCATCTAGAAGCATAGTACTCTGCCCTGTATGGGGCGGTCTTTTCATCTTCAGGGACCTGAATCACATCTTCTACTTATTTAGATTTCTATATTCTGACTTTTAAATGCAAGATGAAAACATTTAGTTCTTCTTAACATGATTAAAATTAGAGGTGTGCATGTTAAAAATTTTAAGGCCAGTTGATCATAAACGGAATTCATAAAATTATTTTGATGGCTTTGATGTCTAGAGAAAATTATTGTGGTTTAAAAGTAGATATGGAGATTTTCAAATGTTTTGAATTAAAAATTTATGCTTTTGATGAAATTTAGAATGTTTTTGACTGTTTTGTTTGGAGAAATACATTGTTGTATTTAGACTTTAAAGTGTGCTTTTCTTTGCGACTAGTCATTCATATTTTAGACATGCTTGATGATCTGTAAAATAATTATGAAATTAATAAAGCTTGATTTTTAAATAATTTTCATATTCTTTATAAAGATTCATGAAGCTTGATTTCTAAATAACATCGAACATTATATAAATAAACATCAGCTAACAATGGCCAAGTAATCGAGGGGGAATATTTTTAGACGAAGAGCAGTGCATCTTTTTGTGCTAAAAAAGTTACCTTTTTTAGTTTCCAGTTATTACCATCATTTACCAGTTGAAAATTTAAGAAAAAGTGTCAAGGAATTGTTTGAGAAACTTTTTTTTTTTCATTTCAATGTTGGGATGAATTCTACATTTACTCTTTTCCAGGTTGAGCAAATACATAAGATATTTAAGCTCTGCGGCTCACCTTCAGATGAATATTGGAGGAAATCCAGGTTGGCTCATGAGACACTTTTTAAACCTCAACAAACTTATCCAAGTTGCCTTCAAGAGACATTTAGATTTTTACCCGAAAATGCGTATAAATTGCTGGAAACTTTTCTATCCATTGAGCCTCAAAAAAGGGGCACAGCCACATCTGCTCTTTCATCTGAGGTGATTATCTCACGTTTCTTTACTTCTCTGTTCATGTCTATATTTAATTTAGGAAGATCTACATACATACCACTCAATTTTTATGAATTTGCATATCTAACATCTATACTTCAATTTTTACTTAAATGCTGCCTTACTTATGCATGAAATGGTGTATTTCATTTTTTAAAAGAAAAAATGGTGGTATTTTTGAAGTGATAAGAAGTTTTGGGTGGTATGAATGTAAAAAGTAAAGTTTAGGTGTTAGATATGTAAATACATAGGAATTGGGTTGTATGCATGTAAATGCCCCTTTTTAGGATTGACTTGTGTTCTTGTTTGCATAATCTTATTCTTCTCTACTTTTTCTTCTACTTAAGAAGACCATTGCTGAAGTAATATCCCTTGGCCATATTTATGCAGGAATATCATTTTAATGATCATCACCAGCCTATGTGGAAAACTATGTATTTGAGGGTAGTTTAATTTTGTGAAATCATTTAGAACAAAATACAGGCTTAACGGTTTGTAATTAATTCAACATTTGATTTGTATTCTAACATTGTTGAACAATTTCATATTGACATGGTGAATCATTTGGCATTGTATTCTTAATTTTGTGCAATGTGTTCCAAAACTCTTGATGTATGGGTATTTAACTTTTGATACCACTCCCTTTATGCATGATTTTGTTCCATTGACTACTTGAATTATATTTTACCGCTGGTCTTATGTTTTTATCCTATAATAACTTTTGTAGCTTCCTTTGATGACATTTTTTTTTTGTGCAGTATTTTAGAACAATGCCTTATGCATGTGACCCATCTAGTTTGCCCAAATATTCCCCTAATAAGGAGATTGATGCAAAAAATCGTGAGGAATCACTCAAGTGAGTTTCAAATGTTCACTTTTAGTATTTTTTTCCTATCTTACAACATTTAACATTGTAGATACTGTATGAACTATTTGCAGAATTACTAGGCTTGCTTTTCTATATTGATTTTTAATGTTCTTTACATCATAACCTCCAATATGCCTTAAAAAATCGTTATTTTGGTTTTGAAAGAAAAAATCTGTCATTTTATCATTCCGATTGTCTGGTCTGTTTGGAAATCTCAACTATAAGCGGCCTTTTATATCAGGATCAAGTTGAGTGGTTCTCCAGAACCGTTGGAAATTGTAAGAAGACATCCAAGAACAATCAAATCACAAAAGTCAAGTGTATCGAGTAAATTATCACGCTTGGAGGTTAGTTCGTGCATAGCAAAGTAATCCATAAACCATAAAATAATCCACACTGTAATTTCTCTTTGTTCTTTCAGGAGCCATGGCTCAAGGCTGAAAACACGCAGAAAAATGCGGGACGACAAAATTTGGCTAAAGTGAACGACGAAGCTGGACTATTTGTAGATATGCTGCAGAAAGAATTTGTTCTTTCTGCAGACAATCGCTTTTCGGCTCCCCTGTCCTTGGAGGCTTCTATCGGGTTTGTATGCACGAAGAAACAGGCTTCTGTTAGATCTCATAGTAAATCCAATTCGAAATGTGATATTCCAAGAGTGCCGGATTCATCAAATGTTCTCAAATCAAAAAATAATCTTGATATTATTGCAAAAGGAGAGGAGGGATGCTGCAAATTCTCTAAAGTAGAGAAGCCTTGTGAGATTGAAAGGAACTTAATGGTGCACCAATGGGTGCAACTTGGGCATCCAGAACTAGACAATCATTCTCATAATTCAACCGATATGAGTTGCAATATGCATGGAATTTCTTCCAAGCCCTCTAATATGGTATGGGGCTGTTTGCAACTTCCTTTGCTATTCATTTACAGGGGCATTTACATGCTTGCCACACAATTCCTGTATATTTTATAAATGAGGGAAGTGTCGAGATAGTTTCGTGACTATTTTTAGTACTAAAGGCTATAAAAGTGCTAATTTTACCGCAGACCCTTTTAATATGACGGAAGAGTACTTCAACCTCAATTTAAAGAGTCTAGGATTAATTTGGCACTAAAACGACCCATGTAAATAATCAATGGACTATTTTTACACTTTACTGATTAAATATCTAACCCCTAAACTTTTATTTTTTACATTTATACCTTCTTAATCTTTCATATCACATCAAAAATACCACTTTTTTTAACTTAAAAAAATGAAATACACCTTCTCATGTCTAGATAAAGTGGTATACATGTAGAATTGGAAGTTTATATGTTAGATATGTAAGTACATTGAAATTGAGTGGCATGTATGTAATTATTTCTTAGTTATAACTTTCTCAAAAATATACTGTGCAATTGCTTAGGGTTATAAGAAGTCAGATGACCGGGTTGAGTTCTCAGCGCCGCTATTGTATCAATCACACAAGTTAGATGAACTCTTGGAAAGGCATGAACAGAGAATACGCCAAGCGGTTCGTCGAACATGGCTTCCAAATGGTAACACTAACTGTTCTTGCATCTGCTTGTTTTTCTTTAAACATCATTGTAGAAAAACAAAATATATGATTTCTGCTTCAATCATGAATTTGAATAGCTTCTATTTAGTGCTGAAAGTTTTGAAGTGTGATTGTTGTGGATACATCTGATAAAAAAAATCAACAAATTTTTTAAGTATAATGGTTTGAAGAAACTTAATCAGTGGAAATTTACTATTGTATATATTTTAAAAATTTAGTGTTAATGCTTATAATGGTCCTTGTTGTATGGACGTTGGTGTATGCTTTTTGCTGATGATATTCTTCTCGTGGATAAAACGAGCGAAAAAGCCCAGGAAAAACTTGAATTATGGAGGTCTACATTGGAGTCTAAAGGCCTTCGTTTTAAGTAGAACTAAAACTGAATACATGGAATGTAATTTTAGTAGTAATAGCTCTAGTGACAGAAGTGTGACTTTGGGTGATCAAATTATTAAAAGGTGTGAACGATTTAGATATCTTGGGTCCGTTGTCCAAAGCGATGGTGATATAGATGGGGATGTTAATAGTAGAATTCAAGTTGGTTGGTTGAAGTGGAGGAATGCTTCGGGCCTTTTGTGTGATAGAAAAGTACCGCTTAGACTGAAAGGAAAATTTTATAAAACGGTGGTGAGACCTGTAATGCTCTATGGTGTTGAATGTTGGCCTTTAAAAGAGAAGCATAATAACAAGTTAAGTGTTGCCGAGGTGAGAATGATTAGGTGGATGAGTGGCTTTACACTTAGAGACAAAATGCGAAATGAATATATCCATGATAGGGTTGGTGTAGCTCCTGTGACGGACAAAATTAGAGAAAGTCGTCATAGATGGTTTGGTCACAGTAGACGTCGACCATCTGATGATCCGATTAGAAGAGTAGATGTTTTAGATTGACTTGTGTTAAGAAAGGCAGAGGTAGATCTAGGAAGACTTGGGAAAATGATCTTAAGTTACTAGAACTAAATGAAAATATGATACTAAATAGGACACAATGGAGAAAAAGGATTCATGTAGCCGACCCCACGTAGTGGGATTAAGGCTTTGTTGTTGTTGTAGTGTTAATGCTTATATTAAAAGGAAATAAAGGCATAAATAATGTTTTTTGGGGCATTTACATAGCACACAATTCTTATGTCTTTACATATCTCACATCTAAACCTTCATAATTAAATATATACCACTCAAATTTAACATATAAAAAAATAACACAATCATTGCCTTTTTAAAAGTGAAATACACCTTGTCATGCATAGGTCTACGACACCAGAGTGTTATAAGTATAAATATTAACCTTTGGGTGTTTGATATGTAAATACTTAAGAATTGTGTGGTATGTATGTAAAGTGTCACTTTTTTTTTACCTTGAAAAAAGGGGGAATAGAACTCTCCATTTCTTTGTTGGGTAAGGAGCAAAATTATTTACTGCTTGGGTAATTTGGAGGTGAAGGGTTCACATATACACTTGAGGTTGATGAAGTGTGAGCTCCTCACATGCCTCTCATGTGGGAGCCATTACGAAGACAAGTCTGAGCGAGCATTTTGACTTCAGGTGCTTGGCAATGAGGCGGACACATTTTTTATTTGAGAGAGAACAGATGTTGAAGATGATTTTGTTATTTTATGATGATTGTTTGATATGGTGTGATGTGAAAAGAGCATCAAGAGAAGAAGAAAAAAATTCTGGTTCTGAAATAGTAAGTCTTGAGGATGATCGGGATGAGCCCGAGATAATAGAAGAAGAGATTGATGGCTTCAAATCCGTTAATGGGGACGTGAGCAAGCATGATAATGACGATGGAATTGATGGCAGCGAAGATAAAATTATCTTTAGGCTTAAGATAATCTATTAAGCCACATTTTTTGAACTTTGGATGCAAAAATGGAGCTTGAACATTAATTTTTTGTCTAATATAATGATTATCATTTTATATTATTCAAAAGGGACATTTACATTCATACCACACAATTCTTACGTGTTTCATATCTAACACTTAATTGTAGAATTATGTATTTCCTATTTAGATTTATCCTCATTTATTTCTCCATTGTATGTTGTAGTTCTTTCCTTATATGTTTGTTGTATCTTTGGTAAGTTATAATGTAAGCATTGTGTTTGTCTTAGAGTTTACTCTCTATATAATGAGAGGAGTTGTAATTTGAAGATTGAGGAATAAGAGAATTCTTTCTCTAATGTTTACCTTCACAACATCAAAGAAAAAACCCTAATTTCCATTGTCATTCCTACTTTATGTTCGAACTCCTCTGTCATTCACTGTTTGAAAGTTTCTACCGTTGGGTTCAATCACTAATGCCTTCCCCGGGTTCAAACACTTGTCATTTCCTCTACCTGATCGACTCAGGTTGGCGATCGGATCAGATTGATTCTTCTCAAGTTTGTGGATAGTGGAACTGTCGGCTAGTTAATTGGGAAGCTCTACATCTATGCATCTACAACTCTTTTATAGGCCTCTGTCGTTGTCTTTGCAGAAGCCCTCATTTGTTGACCCCTACAATTGTAATATTTTTTGTAGACAATTCCTCTAACGAGCAACAACTAGTCAGTTTTTCTTTTCCAACCTGAAACGTGCAAAGGTTTGATGAAAAAGTATGGATCTTACGTAATGATGATGTCTGGCTTTACCTCGAATGTTAATTTTGACTGAGAGGTCAGGAATTATATCCAACTAGCCTCGAAACTCTCTACCTTTATCACAAACCATAAACTCAAGGGTCATAACTTTCTTGAATGGTCATAATTCGTGTTTATATACATTTGTGAAAATGAAAGAGAGGAACATCTTTCCAGTGAGTGCATAGTTCCTGAGCTCATTGATCTTAACCATCACTCATGGAAGTTCTAGGATCATGTCTTTGTCGATCAATTCTATGACCACAAAAGTTGGAGAAATTTTCTTACTTTACACGACAGCACAACAGATTTTGGAAGTAACTCATGAGACTTATTCCAGTACAGAAATACTGTAAAATTGTTTAAGATCGAGACAAAACTGTAAAAACTCCTACAATGAAAATTAAGTGTTACTCAATACTTTAACATGCTATCCATGTGCTGATTACAATTAAATATGTAGGATACATATGTATGGAAGTGTCCTCAAGATGCTATGATGTATAAAACAATAGTGGAAAAGAAGAGGATGATCAAGCTCTTATTGGGTCTAATCAAGAACATAGATGAGGTCAGGGAAAGAATCATGAGAATGAAGCCTCTCTCTACCGCTAGGGAAGCCTTTGTTGTAGTTCGGAGAGACGAAAGTGGGAAGAAGCTTATGATACCAGGAAGTGTAGATTCAACTAGCACCAAAAGTTTTGCTTTGTATTCACACAACTCTTATAATGAGTAAAAAACAAAGAAGAATCATCCCTGCTGTGAACATTGCAAGCAACCTGTTCACACAAAGGACAAGTGCTTAAAACTACATGGAAAACCGGGGCAATGGAGGAAAGACCAAGACTGCATGACTTATGTTGTTTCCACTTCTGAAGTGCCAGTTGTACCTAGTCTTTTCATGAAGAAAGAATTAGAAGTGTTGAAGAAACTTCTTTCAAGCAAAACTGAGGAGCCTACTAGCTAAATGAAACATCATTGTATAATATCCTATATCGCTAAATAGATTCGAGTGTTTCTAATCGCATGACTGGAGATATGCATGCTCTCATCAACTACCAAAAGTTCACCAGCTCCAAATTTGTTAGACTTGCTACCTCACTCCCGGACTGTTGAAAAATGAGAAATGAAATTCTCCAAAAATATTTAACTCTCTTCTATGTTATATGTTCCTCAATTGGATTGCAAATCACTTTCAAGTAGCAAAATTACTCATGATTTGAACCACATTAATAAATTTCACTCTAATTCCTATGAATTTCAGGTGATGGATTTAGGGAAGGTAACTGGTACTGTTGAATTGCATCAATGTCTATACTTGCTCAAGAAAAGTTATTCTCTTACGCTAGTGTCGTCTTCACTGTCATTGTCGTTTGGGTTATACTAATTGTCATTATGTTGTAAAGTTGTATCATCATCTTTTCATTAATAAAAATTCATAATATTATCAGTGTGAAATATGTCAATTGGCTAAACATACTCTTCATGTCTATCATTTATCACAATACAAACTTTCATAACCCTTCTTCTTTATTATCCACAGTGATATTTGGGGACTATCAAAATTAAAAATCATCAATGTAGCAAATGGTTTATCTCCTTTATTGATGGTCACACTAGATATTGTTGAATATTCCTCTTGAAGGAAAAATTTGAAATTGCATAAATTTTTCAGTCCTTCCATAACATGATTTTTACTCGGTTCCAATGCAAAACTCAGATTATGAAAAGTGATAGTGCAAATGAGTACTTTAATTCTATCCTTGATTCTACATTGCAAAGAACAATATCATTCATGTGAGTTCCTGTATTGAAACTCCTCAACAAAATGAGATAACTGAGAGAAAGAACAAATATATCTTGACCTATTTAGGTTTATAATGCTCTCTCACATTATCCGAAATTGTTTCCGGGGAGATGTGCTCACAACAACCTACTTCATTATTAGAATGCCTAGTAGGGTTCTTGGATTCAAAGTCTCATTTGAAATTGTGATGGGAAATATCCTTATGCCACAGTCTTCTCATTCAATCTTCATTTTAAAAATATTTAGTTGTGTTTCTTTTGTTCACATTCACCAACCAAACCACACAAAATTTCACTCAAAATATATCAAATGCATCTTTCTAGGGCATGCTTCTAAATAAAAGGGGTACAAGTGCTTTTCTCTCATTATGAAAAATAATATAACTTCATGAATATTATCTTCTTTAAAAACTAACCCTATGATTCTAAATCTGATATTCAGGGGAAGAGTTCAGGTGAATATCAGACTTGGGACTCCACTCTAGACACCCACACTAACCTAGAGTTATCACAACCTATTTTCCCTACACTACTATGAATACTCATACTGATATAGAGTCATCACAGCCTATTCTCTTTGTCTCTAACCATCCTACTTCCCATGATCCTTCAATTGAAAAAATCCAATCGGAGATTAAAAATAAGGAGCTTTGTATGTATATAAGGACAAAGAAATCCACTAAGCAGGATAAAGATAATATGAAACCACAAGCTTGTCCACAACCAAGCTTGATTTCACCCATAGCTTAGGTTCCAAAGGAAGTAGAATCCAGTGGAGAAGACATAGTAGTGTTATGGGAAGTTACACAAATTATTCTATCCATAAGTATGTGCTTATGGGAAGTTACACAAATTATTCTATCCAAAAATAATATAAAATAATCCTAAATCTGATATTTAGGGGAAGAGTTCAGGTGAATATCAGACTCGAGACTCCACTCTACACCCACACTAACATGGAGTTATCACAGCCTATTCCGCTCTACATTACTATGAATGCTCATACTTGTCTAGAATCATCACAACCTATTATCTTTCTCAAACCATTATGCTTCCCATGATCCTCCAATTGAGAACATCCAACTGGAGATTAAAAATAAGGAGCCTCGTATGTATATAAGGAGAGTGAAATCCACTAAGCAGGATAAAGATAATATGCAACCACAAGATTGTCCACGACCAAGCCTGAATTCACCCACATCTTAGATTTCATGGGAAGTGGAATCCAGTGGACAAGCCAGACAAGTTACAAAATTATCCTATCCAGAAATATGTTGCATATTGGAAGTTATCATCAACTTACAAAGCCTTTGTATATTATTTTGACAATGTGAAGATACCCAAGTCGATTAAAGTCCAGTATGGAAAAAAGACAGTTGAAGAAGAGATCTAAAAACTTAAGCTAAATGGCACGTGAACCCTTACAAAGCTTCCTCCAAATAAAAGACCGGTTGGATGCAAATGGGTGTTCAGTGTTAAGTACATAGTGGATGGGAGCATTGAGATGTTCAAGACTAGATTGGTGGTCAAATGTTTCACTCAGTCTTATGGGATAGATTATCAAGAAACCATTCCTCCAGTGGCTAAATTAAACACTGTAAGAGTTCTTCTTAATAAAGAGTGTGATCTGCATCGATTTGATATCAAGAATGTGTTTTTGAATGGAGATCTGGAAGAAAAAATGTATATGGAAATTCCGCTAAGGCTGAAAGATCACTTAAATAAATATCAGGTTTGTAAGCTAAAATATTCACTTTATGGTCTCAAACAACTGCAAATGACTTGTTTTAACAAGTTTGTTGAGATTATGAAGTCTAATGGGAAGATCTTATACCAAGCAGATTATGTATTGTTCATGAAGCATACACAAGGAGGTAAGAAAGCGATGCTCATCATCTATGCTGATGATATGAGCTTGATAGATGACGATGACAAAGAGATTGGAAAGATTATGGAGGTTTTTGCTACTAAATTTGAAATCAATAATCTAAGAGCAATGAGATATTTTCTGAGCATAAAAGTGATCAGGTTTAAAATGGGTATTGTGGTATCCCAAAGAAAGTATATCCCAAACATATTAAAAGAAACATGAATACGAGGGTGAAACTGGCTGAGACTTCTTTGGATTTCAACAAAATATTATAGTTAGAGGGGAAAACATCAGTGGAAAAAGTATCAAAGATTGATGGGTAAGTTTGTCTACTTGTCACACATTAGACCTGACATCACTTACTCTGTCGGCATAACAATTTAAATGAAGGACATTTGAATATTGTGTACATAATATTAAGCTTTCTTAAAAAGACACTTGAAAGTGGGTTATTGTTTAAAAAATCTGACAATAGGGATGTAGAGGTTTACGGTGTGTTTGGGACAGCGACTGCTTTTTCAATAAGCTATTGTAAAGCTGTTTTCTAGAGAAACATCTTTTCAGGAGCTGTCAGAAAGCTGTTAATAAAGAAGCAGATGTCTGTTTGGGAGATATGCTATGCTGCTGCTATTTCTCCTAAGAAAAACTGTTTTGCCCTTATATATGTAATATATTGAATAATTGTGATTTTCAAAATATTCAGAACCAAATAACAAAAAGAGGTCGTGCTGCTAAAAAAATAACTGTTTAGTTTAAAATACTTTAATACATAAAAAAAGGATTAGTTATTTGAAATAAATGACTACAATAATGAGGACACCAACGGTAATCAGCAAGCCTCTTCGGGACAATCTATCCATGCATCTCTCCTCGATTGATCACGGTTTGGAGGTACCTCGTCAGTGTCATCAACTCAATGGAAGTAGTCGCAATCTGTTGGAGTCCTGTTTCTGGGACAATAATAAAATCTTCTCCCATAACAGCCTTGCCTCGTGGACTTGTACTGAACACACCTATCACCACAATTATATAGCGAAACTTTCAAAGTGTTTGATGATCTTGAGCTTATATTTCATGTTATTATAATACAACTTTGCTCTAATTAAAAAAAATTAAGTTGATACAACATTCAAGAAATTTAAAAAAATATATAAGCTGTCTTAAAATTAAGAATTGAAGTTTATCAATGCAAAAAAAGGTACAACACATATTGCTATATATATTTTGAAGAGAAAAAAAAGCATAGAGATGAAATATTAATCATCAATTACAAATAAATATGTGATGTTATGCATATGCATGGGAAAGAGCAAGCTATAAGATCATCAAACATCAATGTATACATGTGAAGATTAAGAATACAAAATTTTTTACAGAAGAAATAGAAACATAGAGGTAGACAGGGAAGAAACTGCAAAAAAAAAAAAAAAAAAAAAAAAAAAACACGAAATTGAGAAAACTTAGAAGGTTGCAGGAAATCGACGACGTCGAACAGAGAGAGGGGAGCAGAACCAGGTTTCAGCTCTAATGATACAGGTGACAAAGGAGAACAATGGTGAGGGTATATGCCAGGATAGGGAGTGGGATTTCCGGAAATCTGAAGAGGCATCGACTTCGAAGGCACCACGCAACGGAGCTCCAGTTGTGGAACGCCCTCTTCCCCTTCTGTTTGGATGTTCGACCTGATGCGGCCCCTGACCAATGAAACACTCAAAATAAGAGGGTTCCAAAACTCGACTTCTCCGGTTCTGCAACGTAAAATCCGCAAAAACGGCCCAAGTTGGCCCTTACACTGATACTAGCTGGGCAGAAGAACTCACAGACAGAAGATCCACCTCTGGGTGTTGTTCTTATGTTTGGGGAAATCTTGTCATATGGAAGAGCAATAAGCAAACAATGGTCTCTAGGAATAGTGCATAATTCGAGTACCGACACTTGATTTGAGAATTTGTGAAGGAATGTGTATTCAAAGGTTACTAAAAGAACAAGGATATTCCACGGTTAATCCCATAAAGATGTTTTGTGACAGCCAAGTTGTCATCACAAAAAATCTTGTACATCATGATAAGACCAATCACATTGAGATTAATAGTCATTTTATCTCAGAGAAGATCAATGGAGGCATTATTCACTTGTGTACATTCCTACTCATCTGCAAGTTGTCGGTATCTTCACAAATCTCTACCTCTAGGAAGCTTTATGGATTAGAACACCAAGCTGGGTCTCTCCAACATCTATGACCTAGCTTGAGGGGGAGTGTGGAATATGTGTTTCCCCTTTAGATGTATCCTCATTTATTTCTCTTTGACTATTTTATAGTTCTTTCCTTGCTTGTTTGTTGTATTTCTGGTAAATTATAGTTGTAGGAATTATGCTTGTCCTGGAGTTTATTCTCCATAATGAGAGGAGTTGTAATTTGAGGATTACGGGATAGAAGAATTTTCTCTCACGTTTTCATTCACCTGAACTCATATTTTTTAGAATAACATCAAAAAGATCGTCTTTATCTTTTTAAAAGTGAAATATACATTTTCATGCATAGTTTATGGCACCAAAGTATTTTAAGTGTAGAACCCAAACTTTGGGCGTTAGATATGTAAATATATATAATAGTTGTTTGGTATATATGTAAAATTTTCTATTTAATAATATTTCTCTGAAATAGCATAAGCCAGATAAGCATATTGTCTTCTTAAAGCCTCAAAGCGTTGGTATTATCTTTAATGGCAAGAGCCAATTTTACAACACTGCATATAACTTTGGTATTGATTTCTAAACTGACTTTTTTGTCTTTTTTTTTCTGTTTTAATGGCAGATAAAGTTTTCTAAAGCATTATTAGCCTGAAGATTTCAACTATGGTAATTCCTACATTGCATATTTATTCTTTGACTTGATGTAGCTCATAATTATCTAGTAATTAATTTTCTAATGCATTTTTTATTTTTAATGGCTTGTATTTCTACATAATACATCCTATGAAACTTAAAAGATGAAGAGAAAACTTATTATTATTATATTTTTTTTAGATCTGCTGGGACAAAGCATGGAGGCTGACAATTTCTACATTTTTTTCTACATATTTGCCCATTTGTTTGTCTTAAAGACAATATATATTTTAGAAAGCAATTATTTTGCTTTCATTAATATTATTTGTGAAAATGATACATTAGAGTGGGTTTTAGCGCATAAAACTCATGTTGATTTGTTATTGCATCCACAACATGTTATAAAAACTGGCAAATTTTATCATTTGTTTAAAATGTGTTCTATTATATATCCTCAACCAACTAAAATTTGCTTCTTTGCAACTTCACTTTAGCCTGTTGATCGGGGATATAAGCTCAGAACGAAGAGAGCTTGTGTTCAAGGCCTTACATATGTGGTGTACGTGAATTTGTGATTAAATTCCTCTGAGATCGAGTAAAATATAGCGTTGATATGATTAAACAAAAAATATGCAAAATTAATAGTTGAAGGACCTCAATGAACTTATTTAATTGTTATAACTTCTTATGTATATATATAT